GTTGAATACTATTCACGTATTCCTCGAACACAGTGTCCAGGAATTGCCTTCCGGTCGACAATTCAGACAACTTGTGGTAATCACCGCTTTGTTGAGCCATCACTAGCGGGAAGTCCTTGTTATTGACGGTACGGGTCAGCTCAGCACCAGCTAAAGACATCGATGACTTCTTGGAGCCTATGATTATTGCAATCAATAAACATAATTATTAGACTAAATAAAGGTTTACAATAGTATAGTGACCAAGTGATTTTAAAATGTATTTTGGAATACCTATTACAAGTGCCATAAAAAATTCCAGGTTAGCTAATTTATTATTATTTACTGATCTTAGCCATCCAGGTAATTCAAAACATATCTAGATTATATCTATTTGTACGGTAACGTTAGAGTCAAACATACCTAAAAATTGTGAAATAGGCAATTTGGCGATGGACAAATCACCATACTGCATTACGTGAGATGTGGTGGTCTTCTTCTTGGTGTAGGCGAACTGTTCCTGAAGTGTAGTGTCTTTTGTGGCCAACTCTGTGTTTTCCATCCAATAAACACTGTATACATCACCTGTTGTTTAGGGTATTAAATGAATATAATTTTTGTATATTCAATATTACCAAGGTAGCTTTATTATGTAGTATGTTACTTACCAACATCAGTACCAAGGTCCTTGTCAAAATAACAAGTATAGCTGGGCTCGTTGGGCAGTGAGGCGGTGGTGGCGTATATAGTGTTGCCAACTCGTAAAAGTTTAATAGTGGACATTTACCTCAAAAGTGCCCAAAAATAGTGGTAAAATAGTGGCAATAGTTTTTACTCAATATTTATGACTTATTTGTCCAGCTAGGTCAACTATACTGTTAATTATAGATTTATACTCTCATACGTGGCAAAAATGACCAAGCTACAGAAATCATGTCTCATTATGAGCAGGCTATAGGATGGATTGTTTTTGGCTATTTTTCACATTTTTAACTAACACATTATTAATAACTAGATTTTATAAAAATGTTTTACGCTATCAGTATTGAATTATAATTCATAATACAAGTTTTTTAATTACTAAAATAAAATCGATTAATATGTAAAATTCGCTAAATATTACCATGTAATTGATTTAATTTAATCGACGTAAAAAAGTGCCACTATTTAAATGTGCCTAAATATTACTAATATTTTAATTTTTATTATTTGAAACACAATTTTTTACACAATTTCCATAATTTAAGCATTGTTTAATGGCGCGATTTTAAATATTACATGAATTCATATGCAAAATTATTTAATTTTAAAAATAATAATTATGTTTTTCTGAATTTTTATTATGTATTTGCATTATTTCTATAAAGATTTCTTTAATTTATCTGAAAATTAAATAATGGACATTTCTTTGCCACTATTTGCCCTTCAGTTTATAGTGGCACATGCCCAAAATAGTGGCATTGCCACTTAAATAGTGGCGAGTTGGCAACACTAGGCGTATATGTTGATGTCGGTGGGGAGTAATTTGTCAAACATTGAACCTAGTGGTTTATATGAAAAATAAATTATAAACGTATCATGTTTGATTTGGTATTTAACTAAAGTTATAGCGACTTATAAATATGGTAAAAATTAATTATGTTAATTTAATGTGCATACCATTGATTTATTTTACAAAGTCCCTGTTTTAGTTCAAACAAAGTCCGTACAGGGGCCGGTGGCAGCATTAGTTATACATTAGGTATAGTGCAGACAACTCATACATCTCATTCAATGCTATATG